TTATTTTATTCAATTCGGTCAATTCTAAGAAAAGTTATTAGCGAAACAAATTCTCGCCAGTACAACCCCCCCAAACTGCAGCAACAAGTTCGCTCTTCTTCTTCCTCTTTTTGCTGCTACTATGGGCGCATATAACTCAGTGACGGAAGTTTACCTGGGTACAGGGTATTACACTGTCGGCTTTAGCTCTTTTACTTGTTATAGCCTGTACCCAAAGGGTGAAAGGCTATACTAGTTTTGTGCGCATGTATGTAACACACAGAAGGAGGCGTGGCAGACCCCACAAAGTATATATATTCTTGATCAGGATGAGAAGACGAGTCGATATAGCCATGTCCGTCTGTCCGTCGGTCCGTCTGTCTGTATGAGCGCAAGGATCTCAGTAAGTACAAGGTCAATTCTGAAGAAAGTTATAGCCATAAGTAAAATCGCTGCTTATGCGCTGCCTGCAGCTCTGTCGGCAGCGCTGCCCGCAGCTGTTGTTGTTGTTGCTGCTTTGGTTCAACTTTGTGCTGCATACATACACGCATATAAACACTCATAGGTACGTGATGTAAATGTATGCTGTTCAAACTGAACATAAACATGTATTCTAATTTAATTAAATTAATTATTTTAATTAATTAATTCATTCATTTTTTTAATAATTTAATTTTTTTTTAATTTTTTTTTTTAATTTTTCCTTTTTGTGGAGAGTACAGGCTATTTTACTGTCGGGCTTGCTCGACTGTAGCGTTCTATCTTATTTTTCTTAATTTTTATAGCCTGTACCCAAAGGGTGAAAGGCTATACTAGCTTCTTGCGCATGTATGTAACACACAGAAGGAGGCGTGGCAGACCCCACAAAGTATATATATTCTTGATCAGGATGAGAAGACGAGTCGATATAGCCATGTCCGTCTGTCCGTCTGTCTGTATGAGCGCAAGGATCTCAGTAAGTACAAGAGCTAGGACAACCAAAATTGGTATCAAGGTTTCTATAAGCCCTAGGCAGATCGAGGTTGTTTATTTTTTCTGATACACCCCCCCACTCCCCCGCAATTCGTGTTTTTTCTTATAACTTCCGTAATTCTCGGAATTTTGAAATCAATGTTGTTAGGTACATCCAGTTAGTACTAATGTGTCCGTGTCCGTTCATCATGATAGGTCAATTCTGAAGAGAGTTATAGCCATAAGTAAAATCGCTGCTCATGCGCTGCCTGCAGCTTTGACGGCAGCGCTGCCCGCAGCTGTTGTTGTTGTTGCTGCTTTGGTTCAACTTTGTGCTGCATACATACACGCATAGGTACGTGATGTAAATGAATGCTGTTTAAACTGAACATAAACATGTATTCTAATTTAATTAAATTAATTATTTTAATTCATTAATTTTTTTTAATAATTTAATTTTTTTTTTTTAATTTTTCCTTTTTGTGGAGAGTACAGGCTATTTTACTGTCGGGCTTGCTCGACTGTAGCGTTCTATCTTGTTTTTTTACTGCATACAAGCACGCATAGACGCGATTCTGATGTAAATGTATGCTGTTGAAAATTGTAAACAGTTATACAGACATAAGTGCATGCGTTAAATATTTTATATTTTTAATTAATTTAATTAATTAATTTAATTTTTTTGTGGGGTGGTACAGGGTATTTAGGAGTTGAGCCCGCTCGACTTTAGCATTCCTTTCTTGTTTTTTTAATTTTCTTACTTTTTTTAATTTCTATAATTATTGTAAACATATGTACAGAGTATTTCAAAGTCGGGATACCCGACTTTAGCTTTTTTACTTGTTTTGATTTTCGAAAACGCCAGTTCTCTAATTACCTATATCTCGTAATTTTAGTCCCAGATGCCTTATGTAAATACGCAGAAAATGTGTATTTTCCCTTCCTCTCCCCTCTCCCCCAAAATCACAGTCGGGACACCCGACTTTAGCTTCTCCACTTGTTTTCCTTTTAAGAGTCTTTGCATTCAATTAATAATGGGCAAAAGACTATTTGTGGGTAGAGTTTTCTAAAACATCTCTAATGCAACAATAGTGCTCTGAATTATATTATAATGGGTTCCTCTCAGTCCTCTTAGTCTCAACCTTAATACCAAAGGCATGCACTCATAAATCGTCGCTCGACGTCGCGACGTGACGTCGGCGGCAGCAGTTAACCCGATAAGACTAATCCGACAATCCATCACATTGTTTGAGTATATAAAACGTTCAAAACAGTTCATGTGCACTTATGGGGCTCAAGCAAGTCATATGGTTTAAATTATAAACGCAGCAGCAGATGCTGGATGCCGGTTGCTGTGGCACCTAGAACTCGACGAGTTCCACTTAACATGGTTAGAACTCTGAGTCCGACTCAGGGTCAAATGGCGAATGAGCCAATAAATTATCAAGTAAGTGGCAAACAACCAGCCTGTCGGCAAGGCTGTTTCATTTGGGGGTCGTGTGGGGTAAGGCGATAGCCGGAAATGAACGCGGCTGGTTGCGGCGGAAATGAAACGAGCACGCGTCGTTTGGTTTATTGACGTGCCAACATGCCTCATGTCAAACGATGCGCAATTCTAATTAAAATTTAATTGTTTACACTTTTTGATTGCCATCAGAGTAAAGCTGACAGACCCAGTCGGGCAGTTCCTTAAAAACGGCCTCTCCATGTATGAGTACATCATCCCGCAGCCAGTTGGGCCGAATTTGTACCTCGTCTGCTGCGCTGATTTCTGTTGTCAAACGCTTTGCCATTAGTTCCTAAATGGCGTCGTGCTCTTGCCGATTAATTGCCATCATGCTAGTTATTGCGCCCGTCGAACATCAGTCCCTGTAGCTCTACTGGAGCGCGTGCCGCTCTGGGCTCTGCACAGTTGCCTCAAATTACTTTAAACAAGAAAGGAATGCTAAGGTCGAGCAGGCTCAACTCTTAAATACCCTGTACCACCCTACCAAAAAAAAATATTAAAAAAATATTTAAAAAATTTAATTAATTAATTAATTAAATATAAAATATGGATCAGAAAAAACGAACAAACTGGCCCATCATTTTTTATTGGGCCAAGAGTCCCGCAATGGATCAAGGTTTCAATATACATATACTTACATATTCGATTTCCAAAATCAGCATTCCTCCAAGCACCGAAAATATGCCAATCTTTTTTCAATTTGGGACCACTGTGTGTCCGTAGTCAGAGCTTCTATGGCTGGCTGATTTACATGAACAGCGACAGAAGCATAGCTAACGACATATACAAAAACAATAACAAAGTGGCGATGCCAAAGTTTGAAACCCAAACACAGAGAAGCAGTCGAGCAGACGTTTTCATAGAGCGGGGATGGGGGGTAGGGCACGAACGTGACTTGCGTGCCAACTGAACGCTTATCAAAGTGTATAAAACACATAGAAATTATGACGCCTTCGTAGGAAAACAAAAAAGACTCGCTACGGCGCGGCGGCAAAGGCGAAGAAGGCAGCATGGATTTGTTGCCAAGTTGCTAAAACGTTTGACGTTTACACCAGGCGAAGGGTACACTGGACTGGGATGTACTCGTACTTGTGAAAAGGGGAGGGGGCTTAACTTAAGATTCAAGGCTGTGTGCTTTAGCATTTTATTGCCTTTAAGTTTCATTAAGTCAAATGACGCAATCGCTTAAGCTGCGCGTGGAGGCCGAACAGCGGCCAATGAGTATTACTTTGCACGTCTGTATACCAGTAGTACCCGATACTAGAGAACCGGCAGTAGAACCGGAACATTGGTGCTGTCGTCTCTGTGTTCACCTATCCTGTAGCCAACTAAAAAGTCCTAGCTACTGATGCTTCGAATGATTTTTGACCTAGCTGCTTACATTTTGAATGGAATGGACATTATTCTAGAACGACACGAAAACTGTTTTGGAAAAATGATTGACAGTTACGCACAACTAGATTTCGATGTATTCAATTTTTTTATGTTTTTCAAATATTTCCATTGCGATAATCCCTATCCATCCAGATTACCACTCACCTCTTAAAAAATTACAAACAGTCGATGTTTAAGTATTCCTTATATACGGGTGTATATCTAAGGCAGGACAATCCAAAATACCATTGAAGTTGAAAAATGAAATAAAACCATAAAGTACATTGCTGCAGTCCTCGAACTCTATGGTTACAATCGCTCACCACAGCGGGGCAATTAAAAAGTTTTTTTCCGAACTAAACGCCCACACTAACAACAAAATCGGGTTAAAATGCTAAAGACAATTAAATTAAACAGAAAGTACTGGCGATGGTGGCACTGTAGGGATTACCGGCTTGGGTAAGAAGTGTCAATAAGCCCAACCATGTCGCATATGTAACAAGAAAGAATGCTACAGTCGAGCAAGTGCGACAGTGAAATACCCTGTACCCGGACAAACTTCCGTCACTGGGTTATATACTTGTACGCCACTAGCAGGAGTAAAAAGAAGAAGAAGAACTAGAGTGAAATTGTTTAGTTACAAACTTTTGTTATAATTATCCGATTTGGATGATATTTGAAACAAAAGTAGATAATTGTATATAGATTATTTTGCTTTCACAATTGGCGGAATTCTGTAGCGGGGAGATGGGAGGGGAAATCAAAAAAAGAAAATACTTGTAAACTCGAGTAGGGTCTATGTACCAAGTTTGGTTAATGTGCGCTCAACCGTTGCCGAAATCCAGGCGTTCATCCAGACAGACGGACGGAGATCGATTTTTCTCGTCATGCTGATCAAGAATATATGTACTTTATGGGGTCGGAGATACTTCTTTCTGCCTGTTACATACATTTTAACTAACTTTGAATACCCTTTTTACCCGACGAGTAAAGGAATGGAAAGGTGGAAAGGCTGGATAAGACACACCGCTCGAAATTGTATTGTCGCGTAATTAAAATTGAATCACTTTTTGTATTACGTTTTCCCTTTTTGGCCATAGTCTTGTTTGACGCATAGCATAGATGTAACCTGCTGATTGGCGCTCTGCAAATTTTACAGTGATGCGGCTTCCTGCCAATACCATTGACGTTTAGCTTATCTATAACTTTTTCAATTTATTTTACAGCCAATGGCCTTGCCATGACAACCGAATGAGCAATGCCAAAATAATCGTCACCACAATCGCCGCCGGCTGCCAAACACTTGAAATACTCGAGTGATGTTTGGCTGAGCTTAATTTCCATATTGAGTGGCCAAACAACTGCCCAGTACAGTAGGGTGACTTGTGGAGTAGCAGAATTAGAATAATCATAAATCTAGCTCCAGAAGCTCAGCTTATCCGCCTCGTCCAGGATGAGGGCCTGCTCGAAAACGTTCTTCACGCAACGCACCAAATACTGACTTATCAAAGGAAGTAAGAAGCTGAGTATTGACCGGATAGATACGTTCTGAGTTCCGCAAAGCACTTCAATGCACCAGACGACAAAGTCCAGGGCGAGCACTGTCGCATTAAACACCAGCCAGGGACCCATGTAGTTCGGCGATATCTAAATAGTGGAGGCAATGTTATAGCTGTGTTATTGAAATCATGATTAGAGTTTACGCAAATATGTAAGTGCTCAAGTGCTCTTTCGCCCAATTATTTAAGCACTACTTCCAGATTTAAGACTCCAAAAATTGTAGCCAAAAACGCGAAAATAATAGATACGTATTTGTACACTAAACAAAATCATTTTCTGGATTTCAGAAAATCGCCCTAATCTTTTTATACTCTGTACATGAAATGTACAAGAGCATATTAGGTTTGCGGGAAGTGAAAAATGTAACAGGCAGAAGGAGGCGTGGCAGACCCCACAAAGTATATATATTCTTGATCAGCATGACAAGACGAGTCGATTTAGCCCTGTCTCTCCGTCTGTCCGTATGAACACCTGGATCTCAGAGACTATAAGAGCTAGAGACACCAAAGATGCCTTATGAGTGTACGCTGCACAAGTTTCTCTTATTTTTTTGGATTTTCCCACTTCCCCTCTATGGGGGATTTCCCGATTTTCCATTCGAAAACCTAATATACTCTTGTACATTTTATGTACAGAGTATAATTAATAAATTACTGATCAATGAACTAGTTCATTGAGAGCTACATGCCATTATATCATCAGTTTTAGTAAGTTGAGACAAACGGACAGAGAACCTGAGCATGAATAAAAAATAGGATCTTCCAGACTTACGGTGATCACAGCATAGAGTAAGAGCATCCATGCCTTAATCATTAGAAAAGTCCCAAGTAATCGACAGCGACGCAGACGCAAGTCGCTAAATGTATAAAAGCAGCGAGGTCGCCACATCGAGACAGGCTTTGGGGACTTACAATACAAACGTATGAACTCAATGATGCTGTGCAACTGCAAAGAAAACAAGAGAGAATGTTACAGTCAAGCAAGCCTGTCAGTGGGATCCTGTACCCAAAGGGGAAGGTCTAAATACCAAGTTTGGTCAATTTGGATTGAGCCATTTCCGAAATTAAATCATTCGTCATGGAAAATACATTCAGCATCGAACATACGGACGAAAAGACGAACGAAGATATCTATATGAATTTGTCATGATGCAATCATTTGCGAAGCTAGGTAGTATCTACTTTATGGGATTGGAGTTGCTTCCTTCCACCTATATACCTTGCACAAACCTAATACTCCCTTGTAAGCCTTCGGGTACAGGATATAAAAACCTTAACCTTATATATTCGTCGTAGAAAACTTACCACCCCCACTATGCTCAGACTAAGCACAAACCAAAAGACAAATGGAAACCATTGGACGGTGCATTGGAGGCATGATACGAAGTGTTGTTTTACATCCAGCCAGTATCCATAGCTATTGAATGCCCAGATTGAATAGTCTTCGCAATTGTTAGCCGATATGCGAAAGTAGTGGCGCATGATGAAGCACGCCCGTTCATGGAAGGTTGAAATGTGAATCATATCGAGCGAAATGGATGGAAAGGTAACCGCAAATTTGTTGAAGAGTGAGCGTCGATGATTTTTTTGTTTTTGTTGTTATTTGTAGTTATACTATATGAAGTGTAAGAACAAGTCTGTGTGATTTACTTTATATATGTTAGAATATACACGTATGAAAACTGCTGGCCTACTAATGGTCTCATAATATTAGATTAAAACTAACCCATAAGTTCGACGAAAATTGTCAATGGATCATTTAAAAACAGTCCCCAAATACTAGCGGGTGATTATGTTTTTAATATCAATCAAGTAGTCCAGTACCCTGTTTGTGTAAAGTGGACCGGTCCATCTAAAGAAGCTAAAGTCGGATGTCTCTACTTTGAAATACTCTGCACATGTGTGTAGAATAATTATTCGTGTATGTGTGTGCCTGTGTATGTCTCGTGTGTTTTTGCAAAGCAGTAACAACAACAAAAGCTGCGGGCACTGCTTGGTCAAATACAACCTCGTATAGCGTACACATATAACACATCTTTGTGCAAAGTTTGGTGTCTCTAGCTTTTATACTCTCTGAGATCCAGTTGTTCATCCGGACAGACAGACAGATAAATCGGGCTAGATCGACTCGTCTTGTCATGCTGATCAAGAATATATATACTTTGTGGGTCTCCTTCTGCCTTTACATTTTTCAGATCGCAAACCTAATGTACTCTTGTACATTTCATACAGAGTATAAAAATTTAAAAAACGTAATTAATTTCGTTATATTATTAAATTGTATATGCAACACATGCATACATACATACATTTACATCAGAATCCTGTCTATGCGTGTTTATATGCATGTGTTTGTGCAGTACTGTAATAAGTTAAAGCAGCAACAACAACAGCTGCCTTCAGAGCTTGGGCAGAGATTCGATATATGGCTATACCTTTCTTCATGATAAAACTTAGCATACGGACACATAATCACTACCTGTATGCAAACACGTAATTCGAAGAACCACCAAGAGCTATGGGATTTATGGAAAATCACTAACTGCGGGGGAGTGGGAGGTGCAATGAAAAACAAGAAAGGAATGCTAAAGTCGAGCAGGCTCAACTCTTAAATACCCTGTACCACCCCACAAAAAATTAATTAAAATTAATTAATTAATTTAATTTAATTAATTAACTAAATTAAATTAATTAATTAACTAAATATTAACTAATTAAATATAAAATATTCCATGCATGCATACATACATTTACATTTACATCAGAATCGTGCCTTATGCGTGTTTGTGTACTTGTACATATGTATGTATGTGTGCATTGGGCCTGGTTATATGGCTATAACTTTCTTTCCGATCATTCTATCATAATGAAACTTGGTATACGGATATATAATCACTAACCTAACGTGACTACCAAATTTTAGTTCAAAATTCCAAGAATTACGGGAGTTATAAAAAATCGTTCATAAGGGGGGAGTGGGGGGGTGGATCAGAAAAAATGAATAAACTCGTCCTTTCTCGGTCTCAGGAGAATCTGTATACCAAGTTTGGTTATTCTAGCTCTTATACTTTCTGAGATCCTTGCGTTCATACAGACAGACAGACAGACGGACAGACAGACGGACAGACAGACTGACAGACAGACGGACAGACAGACGGACAGACGGACATGGCTATATCGACTCGGCTTGTAATGCTGATCAAGAATATATATACTTTGTGGGGTCTACCAAGCCTCCTTCTGTGTGTTCCATGTGCACTCGCACAAAACTAATATACCCTTGTACCCTTTGGGTACAGGGTATAAAAACTCAAACTCTCGGATTTGGGAGAGTCTAGATACCGAGTTTGGTTATTCTATGCCTTATACTTTTGGAAATCTTTGCGTTCATATAGACAGACGGACGGACAGACAGACATGGCTAGATCCACTCGTCTTGTCATGCTGATCAAGAATATATACACTTTGTGTGGTCTGCCACGCCTCCTTCTGCCTGTTACATTATTTAGCTCGGGCAAACCTATTATACTCTTGTACATGTACAGAGTATAAAAAAACATTCGAGATATTGAAAAGAAAAACAATAGAAACAGAACAAACATAAAAATAAATATAATTACAATCATTTTTAAAAAAGTAAAGATTTTAATGAGCAACAAAAAATAGTATTCAAACCTTAAGAAATTAAGTTGGCGAAATAATTGCAAAATAAGCGAAAACGAAATTGTTCAATTTAAAAGAGGTTCACAAATGTTTATTTTGCATAGGTAGCGATCGCCGAGATTTACAAAGTTTATGCTGGTAGACGGAAAGCTAAGCTTCTCCGTACCAGATGCGATAACGAAAACGAACTTAACTTGCAGAGTTAGCGACAATAACTAGTACATATGTGGCGGCTGAGCAGCAGCCTATGCAAATTTATGGCAAGCAACAAAAGGAAACGTTAAGTGCTCAGCTTGCTATGCAAAGCAAGTGACAAGAAAACGAGCACTTTGTATTGAGTTATTTACGTTACTTATTAACTATGATGTGCTGCTGGTTTTGGCTGTTTTTGGCCGGATGACCAAACATACTCCCCCTGTTGAAGAACCAGGGTCTTCAACAACATCTTGTTTCGGCAGCGGGCATAATTTGCGAACGGCTCGTCGAATGGTTCCAGTGGAAGTCCTCAATACTGCAACTCTCGACACGCCATCTGCGCCGCTGATGAGGCTGACCACCCTTGCTAATGGCCATTTGAGGGGCGGCAAATTCTCGTCCTTGACCAGAACGACATCATCAACGGAGAGTCCAGGCCGAGACACTCGCCATTTTTAGCGCTGTTGAAGAAGCGTCAAGTATTCTTCACGCCAGCGAGCCTAAAATATCTGCAGGTAGTACGCCACACGCTGCCATCGATCCAGCCGATTGAAGTTGAGCTTCGTCAGATCAGGCTCAACGTACGTTGACAGCGGAGCAGCACCAAGAAAATGAGCTGGAGTCAAGACATCGAGATCTGCTGGATGTTCTGAAAGGGATAACAATGGGCGAGAATTTATAATTGCCCCGATATGGCATACAAGCGTGCGCAGTTCATCAAATTCGAGCAGCGATAGTCCAACGGATCTGTAGAAATGATGCTTGGCAGTCCTTACAGCCGCTTCCCATAGACCACCAAAGTGAGGCGAGCGCGGCGGAGTGAAACGCCAATCAATACAGTCAGCAAGGCAAAATTCTTGCACAGCCTGCAGGTGCTCACTGGATTCAAAAAGACGCTTTAACTCAGCCATCTCGTTCCGTGCGCCAACTAAATTTGTAGCGTTGTCAGACCAGATCCTCGTAGGTCGACAGCGCGTCAAAATAAAGCGTTTAAGTGCATTTAAGAATGCTCCGGTGGTTAAATCCTTCACCAACTCCAAATTCACAGCTTTGGTGGCGAAGCAAATGAAAATGCAAATATAGCATTTTATTAGTGCCTTATTGCGGACCTCGCTTTTGTAGAAAAACGGCCCACAAAAATCCACACCAGTGACCATAAAGGTATGTGAAGCATCAACTCGATCCTTTGGCAGGTCAGCCATAACATGCTCCACAAGACGAGGCTTGGATCGAAAACAAATGGTGCATTTGCTGACTACGCTGCACACTGTTTTCCGACCGCCAATTGGCCAATACTGCAACCGAATTGAGGCCAGCAATGCACGAGGTTCAGAATGCAGATTACGGACATGGTAGTGCATAATGACTGAACGCGTGACTGGATGACGCCTTGGAAGTATAATTGGATGCTGGGCTTCAAAGTCGAGCGCAGAGTTACTTAGTCGGCCACCAACGCGCATCAATCCAGAGCTGTCGAGAAACGGAGATAAAGAAAGACAGGAGCTAGACGATTTCAAAGTGTGTCCGGCCTGCAAGGTCTTGTATTCGTCCCGAAGCGTAGACATGTCGCTGCCATCATCAAACTTAACTAGAGTTTCTTTGTCTTCTTCCGGAATTTGTTTGAGCACATCAGGATTGCTGGAGCACCACTTCCTTAGCTTGAAATTAGCCTTGGCAAGTAGCCCTGTGGTTTGTCTCATAATTTCTATGACTTCGTTTGTAGAAGCACCACCAGTGATTAAATCATCAACATAAAAATCGCGACGCAAGATATCGGAGCCAATAGGAAATAGCTCATGCTCATCTTCAGCCAACTGATGCATAGTGCGAACGGAGAGAGGCAGGCTTTGTACCGTAAGTGACGGTATCAAGACGGAAACCTTGAATAGGCTTTTGAGGCGAGTCACGCCATAGAATGCATTGAAAATAGCTATCCGGATTTGATACTCGCACGCAGCGGTACATCTTGCAGATGTCTCCTGTTAAAGCGATAGGAAACGTGCGAAATCGAACAAGCGTGTTTGCGAGCTTTGACTGAATGGAAGGACCAGCCATTAGGATGTCATTTAAAGAATGACCAGAGGATGTGGATGCGGAACCGTCAAACACGACTCTCAACTTTGTCGTTGTGCTGTCCTCCTTCAGAACGCAATGGTGCAGAAGGAAATACTTTCACAAATTTAGCGAAACTGGCGATACAAGTGACATATGACCCAACTCTAAATACTCCTTAATGAATGCAGAGTACTGTGCTTTGAGAAGTGGATTGCGTTCTAACTTTCGCTCCAAGTTTATAAACCGACGATAGGCTTGGGTGTAGGAATCGCCAAGCAGATCTGTGCTGAGCTTTACAGGCAGTCGGACGGAATACTCGCCAGTACGCAGGCGCCTGTAATTAGCCTTGAAATGCTCCTCGCAGTCGAACTCTTCTTTTGTAAGTTTTACAGCCGGATCGACACCACTTTCGAGTTCCCAAAAAGAGCGAACCATCTGCTCGATTCGTGTATTGCAATCCTGTGTAGGCGGAGACTTGGATACAACCAAAGCAGATTTCTGACGCTGAGAGCCACCTCCAGTAACTATCCAGACCAAACGAGTCTTTTGCAGAAGTGGCAGGCCATCAGCCAGTTTAATCTGACCTACGCACAACAACTCGTAGAATAAATTGGCGAAGGGCATATCAATTTGCTGCGGCTTGAAGAACGCCGGATCAGCTAAGCGGACATTGC